ATGCCACGGTGGCATCAATTAAGGAACAAGTGCGCAATGAGATACGAGAAGAGTTCAATGCATGGGCAAAGCAAATGAACTTGCCGAGCTTGCCTTTCTCCTCGGCTACACCGATCGACTCTTCTAGTCACCCACGAAAACAAGGAGAAGATGAGGTACATGCAGACGAAGAGGTACATGATCAAGTGGTTTCTAATGTATAAGTTTTGACTTTTTGAGTTACGTGGGTTCTAATTAGCCTCGCACTATCAATACACTTTTGCAGGTTAGTAATCCTGCACATGCGTACTTGAGGGAGCCTGAAAATCCAACACCTCATGAATTTCCAGTTCTACAGGTGAGTTGTTTAGTTATTTCTTTGGATGGTGATATTGGTTCTTTGATTCTGCTGTGAATTTGTGAAGTTTGTTGTGTTGTTTCTCTATATTGGATGAAGTTTGCAGTTTTATGTGCTGTAAATGTTCTTCGTTTCTTCGTTTGCGTCGTGTTTCTTCGTTCCTGTAAAGACCGGTTTTTGTGTTGTTTCTGTGCTGTTTCTGTGCTATTGTTGTCGTGTTTCTGTGCTGTCATGTTGTTTCTGTCATGCTGTTTCTTTCATGCTCTTGCTGCCTGCTTGCTGTGAGTTGTGCTGTTTCTGTGCTGTGTTGCTGCTGTTTTTGTGTTGTGAACTGTGCTGAGTTGTGCTGTGAACTGTGCTGAGTTGTGCTGTGAGCTGTGAACTGTGCTGAGTTGTGCTGTGAACTGAGCTGAGTTATGCTGTGAACTGAGCTGAGTTGTGTTGTGAACTGAGCTGAGTTATGCTGTGAGCTGTGAACTGTGCTGAGTTGTGCTGTGAGCTGTGAACTGTGCTGAGTTGTGCTGTGAACTGTACTATGAGCTGTGCTGAGTTGTGTTGTGACCTGTGCTGCCTGCCTATGAGCTGTGCAGGCAACAGGCAGCAGCTGTGCAGCAGATGTGCAGTCGTTGGAATTGAGCATATGACCTGTCGTTGGAAAGATCTTGTGATAATCTTTCATCTCCTATTAGAATCACTCATAAATTTTTTGTAGATCAAAAGATATAAGCGTTTGAAGTTCGATCTTTGCAAATCAAGTGCACATTTCTTCATTACTTGTTCTTTTATGTTTTATATTTCTTCAATCTTGAGCAATGAACTTATCCAAGTGTTCCTAAACATAAGAATAAACCAATAAAGTTTAATATAATGCAAGAAGCAACCAAAAATATGCAAGAAAAGCCAAAATTGATCAACAATGACATTTTACATACAAACACGACAAATGAAATAAAAACTTATTAAAACCAAGTAAAAAAGATATCAAAACAATGAAAAAATAACTAGAAACTCCTAAAAAATAGTGACATAAATGACACTTATCACCTGGAGGGTCTTGATTTGGAAGTTTCAAAGTCAAATCTGGAATTTCTGTCAAAGTATTTAGATGAGGATCGCGAGGAAAATTGCAATGCCATAACTTTACCATTGGAGTTCAGATCTTAAGTTGTGAAACCTGGCACCAGTTCATGGTGCAAATGAAGTGGATCAGGCAGAAACCGGAGGTAAGTATAAGCTCTCTACTATATCTGCTGAATTAAATAAGGCAGCTTCTAGTTCCCCTAGTATAGAAATGGTGATACATGATTAGGAACACTTAGTCATTCAACATGTGTTGAGAAACTACAATGTTAATAATGCACATAACAAACCTCTCTTTGTGACTATGAATTTCGAAGGGTATGAGCTAGGAAAAGTATTAGCTGATACAAGAGCCATACTATAAATCTAATGCCTTTGTCTGTTTTTAATAAAATTGGTAAAAGCAAGAAAGATTTGGCTAGTGTTAAGATTAATATTGTTGGTTTCAATGGTAAGTCTAAACGTACTGAAGGGTTAGCATGCATTGAAATCCAAGTAGGTACAACTAGGACTATTTCAGCATTCTTTATAGTAAAAGGAGAAGCATCTTGTAATTCTATCCTAGGTAGAGAATGGTTGCATCAAACCTATGATATCCCCTCATCTTTTCATCGGAAAATAATATTATGGAATGGTGATGATGAATACGAGGTAGTTTGTGCTGATGTAGAGGCTTTTATGATTGATACTAACCAAGATTTTCCCAAGGTTCTTGTGAAGTCAAAACTAAAGACAAAAGAGATTGAACTCAAACTTGATTCTCAATCAATTCTTAAACTGGAGGTAGTATCAAGTGCAATCGCCAAAATAGAAGAGGCTGATGCAAATGAAGGCAAATACAACTCACCTGCAAAGTCCAACTTTGGGTTTGGAGTACTCAAGATTGGATATATTTAGTATATTTTCTATGTACTTTTGTAATTTAGACAAATTATATGGATAATTACACAAAAAGCAAATTCAAATCTGGTACTTTATTAGTATATTTTCTATTCAAAATTTATATGCAAGTTATTATTCTCAGCATGATACAGAGGTTAACACAAACATGGAAAGTCCTGAATGTTTATCTGACTACTCAAACTCTAACGACCATACTCGATCATCGCCTAGCTCTAATAAAGAGTTTTATGGTGGGGAAGAGAATGAGAAGGTATGGGCCAAGAGTAAAGATATCAAATAGGAAATCCATGATCCTCTAGAAGAAGTCAATCTCGAAATAGATGACTGTCCCAGATTCACTTACATAAGGAGCTACTTGACAAGGATAAGTCATTGTTGATTGACATACTTCATAAATATAAGGATTGTTTCTCATAGGAGCATCACGAAATGCCTGGAATAGACCTTTCTATCATCTAAAATAGGCTTCCCATCAAACCAGGTTACAGTCCTATAGTCCAAAATCCAAGACGTTTGCCACCAGAATTGATTCCAAAGATAAAGGAAGAAATTGCTAAACTCTTAGAGGCAGGATTTATACAACACATCAAATATGCAGAATGGATAGCTAACATTGTGCTTATGATTAAGAAGAATGGAAATATTAGAATATGCATAGATTATAGAGACATCAATAGTGCATCCCTAAAAGATCAATACCCCATGCTTGTAGCAGATATGTTGATAGATGCCTCATCAAGATATGAGTAGTTTGTATCAATGCTAGATGGTTTTCCTGGGCATCATCAAATAAGGATCCCTGAGGATGATCGCTCAAAGACTGCATTTAGGTGTCCAGGTTGTTTGGGGCTCTATGAATTGCCATTCAGACTAAAGAATGCAAGGGCAACGTATCAGAGAGCTATGAATCTCATATTTTATGAAATGATGTGCAATTTTATGGAGGTTTACATAGATGATGTTTTGGTGAAATCTCATGACTTATCAAAGCATTTTGAACATCTTATTCTAGCTTTTGAAAAGATGAGAAAGTTCAATCTAAAGATGAATGCCCTGAAATATGCCTTTGGGGTTAAAGCTAGTAACTTCTTGGGATTCCTAGTCCATAGGAATGGCATAGAGGTTGATCAAAACAAAGCTAAGGTTGTTTTTGAAGCATCACCTCCAACCAACAAAAAGGAATTACAAAAGTTTCTGGGGTAAATCAATTATGTTCGAAGGTTTGTCACTAACTTGGCTGGAAAGACAAAAGTGTTTTCCCTTCTCCTTAAACTCAAGCGAGGAGAAGATTTTAAGTGGGAACCAGAACACCAATAGGCCTTTGAACAAATTAAGAGGAAACTAGCTATTCCACCAGTATTAATTCCTCCCAAACATAATGGAAAGCCATTAAGGTTGTATCTTTCAGCTACAAAAGATTCAATTGCAAGGATGTTAACTCAAGAGAATGAACAGGGTCATGAACAGGTAATTTTCTATTTAAGTAGAATCTTAGAATGATACTGAAACAAGATATACCAATGTAGAAAAATGATGTTTAAGTATGATGCTTCCATCAAACTTAATTATTATTTTATAACCTTTCTAGTGGAGATAGTTTCACCAAAATATGTACTCAAATACCTGTTGAATCACCCTTTCATTAATGGAAGGTTGTGCAAATGGAGTATGCATCTGTCACAATTTGAGCTGACATATGTGCCTCAAAAGGCTGTCAAAGGACATGCGCTTGTAGACTTCTTGGCTGATCATCCACCCATGGAAAATGTAATGGTTCAAGAAGAAAAACCATGGACAATGTTCTTTTATGGATCTAGTAAGAGGGAGTCAGCTGAGGCTAGAATTTTGATCTGTTCACCTTCCGGCATAATGACTAAAATGGCGATCACTTTCTCAACTCAATGTAAAAATAATAGAGCAGTGTTTAAGGCATTGGTAATTGGATTGAGGACTCTCAAAGATATGGGTGTTACAAGAGTTAAGGTGTTAGGCGTCTCTCAATGGGTGATAGCATCACCCAAGTAAACAAAGAGTACAAAGGGATGTCACCTCTAGCGATGACCTTCACATCTATTGTTCAAGAGCTAATCGATGCTTTTGAATATATTCAAGTCTCCCATATCCCGAGAGAAGAAAATAAAGAGGCTGACTTTTTGGCACAACAAACATCATTGCCTGATTGTGAGGGTTTTGATGAATTGGTTATTAATATAAGCACATACAAGCTTAAACCTTTAGATGAAAAGGTGAAAGTAGAAGTGCACAAATACAGTATCCTTGCTCAAGACACAGATTGGAGAAGAGAAATCAAGGAGTACTTGAATGACCCTTCAAGAGGAAAGGTGGAGCTAAAGTTAGGCTAGCAGCTACGAAATATTTCCTCATGGGAAATAAGCTATATAAAAAAGATCCTTAAGGCCTATTATTAAGGTGTGTCGGTAGAAAGAAAGTGTTAACAATTTTGGCCGAAGTTCATCATGGTATATGTGGGTCACATCAGACTGGGATGAAGATGAGGTGGTTAATCCATCATATGGGTTTTTATTAGCCTTCTGTTAGACAAGATTGTTTACAATATGCAAAAGGTTGTAAACAATGTCAGCGCTTTAGACCAATAAGCAGGGCACCAGCGATAGAGCTACACCTCATAATCAAGCCTTGGCCTCTTATAAGTTGGGCAATGGATGCAATTGGGCCTATTAAACCTCCTTCGTCGGCTTACCATGAGTATATCCTGATAGCCACATATTACTTCACAAAGTGGGTCGAAGTCCAAGCTTTTAAGAGCTTAAATACAAGGGCAATAATCTTATTCTTAAAAGAGAAAATCTTTACAAGATATGGGATTCCTGACTCTATAACAGTGGATCAAGCTACCATGTTTACAGCACATGAGTTCAATTCCTATCTCAAGGAATTCGAGATTCAAAAGATTCACTCTATCCCTTATTTTGCTCAAGCTAATGGGAAGGCCAAAGCTACTAACAAGGTAATCTGTAAAGGGATTGCTAAAATGGTGGATGAAAATCCAAAGAATTGGCATGTTCTTCTACACTTGCTACTTAGGCATATAGAACATCAAAAAGAGATGCAATTTGGACTACCCCTTACCAATTGGTATATAGGCATGAACCAGTTGTACTGTACCAGCATAGCTGAGCGCTAAGTTTGCTAGGATAGCCAAATAAAAGGACATAAGTCGAGAGGATTACCAACAGTTAATTTCTATTGGAATAATAGATATCGAAGGTGAAAGACTTCAAGTGTTAGCAAGGATTGAATCCCAAAAAAAGCAAGTAGCAAAGTCTTACAATAAAAAGGTGAAACATAAAATCTTTTTAGAAGGAGACTTGGTGTGGAAGATGAAACTTCCTGAACATGACTATTAAGATCACATTTTTGGTAAATGATCCTCTAAGTGGAAGGTCCATTCAGAGTGCATAAAGTCATGTCTGGGAATGCCTATTTACTACAAGAGTTAGACGGAGAAATGTTTCTAAGGGCACTCAATGGAAAGTTCTTAAAACAGTAAAACCCAAATATTTGGGAATAATATAAAGTTTTACAACAAAAGCATCCATCACTAGAAGGTTTTGACAAATGAGACTTAAGAATGTATTGTTTACAAATGAAGAGACTATTCAACTGCTACCTTACGTTTAACCTCATCTAATAAAGCCTTGCACTTGTTCATCGGAGCCACCTAACTGCCATGGCAATCAAATTGTGATAAAGATTAATGCATCAGTAAAGCACCCTCAGATATTTGGCGCTTCAATTGCTTCTTCTCTCTTCTCCGATCAAGAAGTTTTTGTTCCACTAAAGCTCTCTTGGCCTGGAGTTTCTTCTCCTCCTCTACAAAGTTATTAATCTCAGCTCGCAGGTGATCCATTTCCAAGTCTAATTCAAGATCTTTCTTCTTCAAAAGATCTCGTTGTTGGAAAACCTAAGATACTTGTTGAGAGATGTTAGAGACCATTAAAGGAGAAAGAGATGACCTTATCTTAGCCAATTCAATAGCACATGCTTGACAAGCGATAGACAATTCCTCCCATACAACAGGATCATTAGTCCCAGCTGATGAACTTGGGCCATCAGTTGCAGAGATAGTTTAATCTGCACACTTGGCATTTCCTGCAACTCTACTCTTTCACAAAGAGCTAGAACTTCTTCAAGAAGTTTAATCTTTGGAGATGTAGAAACTGGGACATAATCAATGACAAGCGTTGATTAAACTGAGATACTTAATAAGTATGATAACTCATGAATTTAGAATGCTTACTTTCATTTGACGCTTGATCTTTGGAAGTCTTGTTGTTCCCAATCCCTTGGTCATAAAGTGCTAATGCTGAAACACAACAAGGAATATTAGACATCGAAGTAAAGGGGCATAGAAAAAGGATTTGGATATTATCACTTACCAAAGTCTGCAGATGTGCTTTTTCCCACAGGAGCTTCTTCACAAAGACTTAACTCTATAGCATTAGATGTTTGATGATTAATCTGAAGCTCAGAATCCCTATCCTGGACATCTGTAGTGTCACTTTACACTACTATAGGGGTAGATTCTGTGGTACTTAGTTCAGCTTCATCATGAACCTCTACTTCTTGTTCTTGAGCAACCACGGAAGGTTGATTTGGTTCAAGCGAAGGTACCGAAGTCGGACTAAGCTTAAGATCTCTGTCTCCCTGTTTAGCTTCATCTTAAGTGTCTACCAACTTAACTTTGAAGTTAGAGTTAAAACATCATGAGCTAAGGGGGCATTTGTGCTCACATTAACATCATCATACCAAACAGACTTGTTTGCTTGGCTGGAGGAAGGATTTACAGGCTGATCTGAATAAAGAGAATAAGTGGAAGTTGGTTTTGGAACAGTAACTTCAAGATTTGATTTGCAAAGGCCTGATTGATCGCCCACATTATCTTCAGTACCTGAAACTTTAGGATCACTACCAAATGATGAACTACACCCCACTAGCTGATTACATGCAGCCAAATCAGCACCTTGACTCTTACTAGAGTTAACATTACCCTTTCTCTTCTTCTTATCAGGTCCTTGATATGTTGGAGAAGAGGGTACAGGATCACAAAGGGGTGACTTCTCTAATGACATTAGGCTAGAAGCAGTAGTTTTCTCTAAGATTGTGCTCTAATGCTAGGACTTGACATGGGGATGTTCCTATGCCTGTTACTCCTTGACTTTTGTAAGGATCTCGGGTTCAAAAGAGAGATCATCTTTCCCAATCCAACTCTATCAGTGTGGGAATGAATAATACTTCTGTGAGAATCATCTATAGCCATGGGCAGATAATTTAATTGCTGCTATTTCAGATGAACGATCATCTTATAATAAGCAGTCTTGCCTTTCATTTTGATTAAAGGAACAACAGTCTTCTTCTTTCCTGAAAAGTAGATTGTGAGTAAAAATGAAAGAAGTAATAGGATAAAACTTTGGGAAGGATGACCTTGAAGTGGTCCATGATGCCACCACTCGAGATAACTCGAAGAAACCACATTGCTGGATTTTTTGGGTTGTAGAATGGTTGAAGGATATGTAATGGAATCACTTTTCTAGACATCTTCTTCATGAAATTTTGGCCTAGTGTTCCAAGGAATGTTACATGTGGTAAATAGAGGAACAACAAGAGATTGGCACAAACCAAATTGTCTAGCTACCATTTGAGGATTGTAAGCCTCAAAACAAAAGTGTTCTGGCTCTCTTGTAGGAAAATCTCAGGAGGCTAATATAGAACACCAAAATGGGGAATCCCTCTCAAAGGTCTTCCTCATACCTATTCTCTTAAGCCATTCTAGAGTTTCATCAAAGACCTAATACTGTTAGGATCCAGATTGTCTTTCCGGCTCCTAACATACCAACTAACAGCAAAAGGGTCTAACTCCATTAGACAATGCATGACAATATTGCATTCAGGGACATTTTGGTGGTCAAAGTAGTTGAAACAAATTTCAGCATACGAGCAGCAGTCCACCTTTAAAGTTTTCTCCCTACAATCAAGTTTAGATGAGTACAACTAACGTTATCTCATCTGCCATCTCTCTCTTGACCTCTTCTTCAGTTTTCTCCATACATAAAGTGGTGTAAAGGTGACCCTAGCAAGTGACTAACCACAAGGGCCCCCCAACATTCTCTAAGCTCTGGCCTGCAAAAAAAGTTTCCCTACATCTAAACAGACATCTATACAATTGTTCTAATAAAATTGGACCTAGAGCTACAAAGGATTTACTATGAGCAATGTTCTCTGCAAGTGGCAATAACATTGCAAAAATGCCACCAGACTTGCACATCTTAAGCGAGTAATAGCGAATAAAATAAAGAATACCTTTTCTTCTTGCAATACTTTAGCCGAGTATGATGATGATGTAAAGTATGAGATATATGCATTAAAGCCGACCTTGCTACTTTTGGATGTTGCTAATATCTACTTCAGAAGGTTGTGACTTTTGTTATACAAGGGTCCAGCGCCTTCAACTAGGCTGAAAACTTTCACTTGCTGGCCTTCATCATTGTAAGGGGATAGACCAATCATGTCAGCAAGGGTTTCAGTCATGCAACCTTGGCGCAGGAAAAAGTAGTTTAATACAGGATCTCGGAGCGATATAACAGCACATGTCAATGATTCGTTGAATGGAATCTTACCATATGTCGCCAGCCTAAGGAAATTGAAAATTTTCTTCTTCTCCCATGAGGAGTGGAGCTTGCAAAGCCGCATAAACCAACCCCTGGCTGTAAGGTCTTAAACCCAACCTGTAATTAGATTCTAGCTTAAAAACCGATTTTCGTTTGGGTGCAATTCAATGAACGCAATAGGGCAAGGCAAACCTTTACCAAGGATGCACTTAGTTAACTTTGGCTGAATTTCCTTTCAAAACTCTTGCTCAGAATCAGGAGATGAAAGATTAATGAAACGATGGTCCTATAGAGGTTGTGCCTTTCAAGATGCTTTCTACAGTGGTTGAGGATGAAATGTGCCAAAGGAAGTCAAATCTAATGTTCTGAGGGTATTTGAGTATCAATTCACACAATTCATGAGCCTCAATTGGACATTTTTTAACCAAAAGGGGTTTGAGCACTTCTTGCAAAGGAAGAGAAGTCATTTTTATACTTCGCAAAGTTCAAACGAATTGGGGTTGAAAAGATTGGAAGATCATAGAGTGAATTGGTGATGAGATAGTGTAAAAGGATGCTTTGAAGGTTTTTATAGATTTTCCAAGCGTTAGAGAATTAGTTAAATTGTACCGTTTGGTTTCGTTCAGACACAAAACGATACAAATGGTTTGGCAGAGTCTGGTAAAAAAGAAATTGATTTTCAATTGAAAATTGAGAAGCTCAACCCTAAACGAAGCATTTTTAGGGCTCAATTTGGCAATTGGGAATCAAGCGATAGAAGTAAGAGATTACCATATTACCCTTCAACAAAATTTATCAAGTAACATTATTGATAAGTTTTATAAGGTAATTGCTAGGTAATTTCCGAAAATCACACATAATATAAAGTGATCGAGGCATTTATTTCAACTTATAAATATAGGTTGAGATCATTAAATCACTCTTCACTTAAAACACGCAAAGTGAATCTTCTCCCTCAACTAAAATCTTTTGTCTAAGAAGCTAATTTAACAGATTTTCCAAATCTCTTCCTAACTTTAGCCAGGAAAGTCCAACTTCTAGCACTGCTGAGTCTCATCCCAAGGGGGCAAGGTTAATCTAGACCTAGAAGAACTATCCATGGAGTTCCCTGAGATAGATAAGCAATGCTTAGAAGATGAGGACATCAAAGAGCCCGAAAGGTTGCTATAGAGGTGGGTTAAGATGGAGAAGGAGGTTGAAAAGGCAGAAGAGGTAGAGCACCATCACCAAGCCAGGTTTGGCAATGCATTCCTCATCTTTGATCCTGATTTGGTTCTAAAAGGTGAACCTATTAGGAAGAAGCGAAGCCGCAGGCGCCGGAGAGGTGAAGGTGAGCATGTGGAGAAAAGGCGACAAAAGAAGGTAAGATATTCACCACCAAGGAGTTTGGGAAGGATGATGATGATAATAGAGAAAGGGGATAGCTTTGATTTATCTTCTGATATGTATGAGCGGGCCCACAAAATCCCCAAAAGCCCTGATCATGCTTGGGATTTATCAAGGCTAGGATTTTCTT